ATCATATATTCATAATGTATAATACATAATATATGATATATAATAATGAGATCATGGAATATATGCATGATCATATAAGTATGAGAGTAGGCATACAGTTGATATTCTAGTGTATAAACATCTATGAAGGAAGAAAGAGAGAGATAAGGGATAAGGATGGGAGTGAGAGAGAGAAGCGAGCGTATCGTTAGTTCTCCGCGCTAGATTTTCTCGAGTGTTTCATATCCTAGTGATAAGATAAACACTATAGAAGTTGGAAACAGAGGGCGCAGTAATCGCCACAACAACCACTGACAAAACTAACATAATATTGCAGGGTATAGTGATTCTTAACGCTGTATAAGCAGACATCCATCATGTTCGATAAGACATTTATATCGCAGTCATGCAGGGTGCGTTCTTCTCTAAGTGAGTATCATCGTACGCCAGTGTGTCCTCATATAGCGCTGCTTCTGTTTGTTCATAAATCAATTTTTACGGATTTTGTTACAAAATCAAGTTCGTGATGTTTGTGACCCAACTCTTGGATAGTTGCAACTGAACCGCAGATGTTTAATTATTTCTGTGGTTATATGACATACTCACCATATACTTTATCATAAGCTCATGAAAATACTCTATATAAGGTTGACAGAGTGAGGATCATTTGGATTTTACTGGTCGCTGTAGAAAACTAAAATTGAGATAGAACAATATCATGACTCTGTGATATCACGTTAGGACAATTCGCTAGTTTTTGTGGTCTTACTATAAGAAGCTATCTTATACAGAATTATGTGCGATTGGTGTAAGAGGACACGTAGAACGTTTAAATTCTTGTTAGATTAGAGGTGATAGGATAAGGAAGAGAGGAGATATAATATAGAGAGAAATATGAAGATGAATAAGACAGAGAGGGGGGGGGTCAATGTTTATAATAATAGATTGAAAGATGATGAGAAGAGAATTGTGTGTGTGTGTAGTGCACCACACACACACACACGACACACCATCACAACACATATCACTTTCCTTATGAGGAATATAAGCAATATTATTCGTATTAAATTGCTCGCGAGAGAGGTAGCCCTTGTGTACCTACGCATATAATTAATATAAATATATATGAATTAATGTATATATAAATAGTACTATATATATATTATATATAAAATTACTATATATTATATAAAATACAACTAATATATTGTATCGTACAGATGAATAACAAGAGCTGTTATTTATACACTCTGTGAGTATATGCGCTGAAAAAAAAGTTAAGAATGATCTAATATATAATGTTAATTAAAATTATAGATGATAAAAGCGATATATCACTATGTCATAGTGAATTGGTGTTTAGTGGTATCTCTAATAGGTGTACCATTGTATTATACCTCTCTATTATTTGTTATAATACGCGGACATATAATTAAATTGATATGGCATTATACTTTATATATATTGATAATTGCATAATTATATATGGTTGATTATTGTCTTTATTATTATATGAGTATAAATTGACCAATAGATATATTATCTATATTGTAGATGGGCTTATTAAGTTTATTAATGTTGTATGGCGTCCTGTTATGCTATCGGATGTTCGGTAGGTCATTCTGTAGTGTTATACACTTTGTATACAGATTTATAGGCTGTGTGTATGTGTTAAATCGTAGTTGTTCTATGTTATATATGCTGTGTTAGTATCACAGTACTGAAGATTTGTATGTTATTATTCTTATTAAAACATCTTATAAAATGCATGAGCTCATCAATCATACTTATACCTCAGAAGTGAGAGGATGTTAGGTAGATATAGTATGACAGGCTACACCAATTATGTCGCAGCTCACATAATAATACTATACTGCTTTTATGTATCTATAAACCTTAGGCATACTAAGTATGAATAGATGATGACCATATTACATAAAACACTCATTTGTTGTATGCTCATGCGCGGTAAGAATTCCTCCACTACGCAGCACACTTTTTACAGGTTGAGGCATTGTTGGTTAGACTACACTCTCGAAGGAGTATGAATGCGAGTCAATATAAAAAATAAAAAAAAAGATAATAATCAAGATAAAATTCGTCGTGCGATATATCAACTTACCTGAATCTATTAACTAATTATTAAGAGTCAAGAGGCTGACTGTAGCTATGGCTTCAAACAACTAAAATAATATATGAGTGAGTTATAAATTTATATATATCAATCATTTCATAGAGTGATGAATTCTCACTATTGATTGTTGTACTAGTATTAGTGGATATGCTGTAGTGTGATGATAGTGTTAGGTGATGGTCTTGGTTATGAGTGTAGATGTTACTCTCTCAAGATGATAAGTGCTGATTTAGCTTGTAATATACTGCATAAGTTCACTAACTTGTGACATTAGAATACCCCCACCGCTCTCGCTCTCTCATTTCACATCAAATTTTACATACATATTTGTGTACATATACTATTTACTTTATAGTAAGAAAAATCCTTTTAGAGAAACTTATCATT